ATCGTAATTTCAGTTTGTACAAATTGATGCTCTAATTTAAGGAAGCACATAGTTCAATAATTCTTACATGTTAAAGCATCCATTTCTTATTCTTTAAGGTAGCTTTGATTCCACCAAACTATCAATTTTTGTACATCACCCTGTTCATGACCAAAAGTTCTGAATTTCTTGATGTGTTCATCAATACATAGGTACATATACCTTTTGTTTAATCCAACTCAGATCTATTAGATATAATATAAACTATACATAATCGTTTTGTTAGCATTTGTTATACTATTTCATCACTAAGGTATAAAACTATGAAAAAAAATGTTTCATTTATAGTTTATACACTTATTCGGATATTTTATAACTACATAACATTTTCAATTTGCACTTTATTATTTTAAGTAGACGCAACAACCCAAACCTATATAATTAGTATCTAAGTTTCATTTGAATCTCACGCCTAAGTGGTTGCTAACAAATATTCCATAATTAGATAACTTGTCAACAAATTAAATAATTGATGCTTATAGATATGAGTGGATAGAAGCAAAGCAAAGATATATTAGTAAAAGAGAGAAAAAAGAATAAATTTTCTACAAAGGGTTGGTATTATTTTTTCTTGAATAATATTTTATCTATAATTTTCCACATAAACTTTTTGTTATCTCATTTTATCAAAAGGTCTATGTCCGTTTATAGATTAAAACTCTCTATTATAGTAATGTTGGATATTTAAAAACATTAACTTTCAGTAGTCACTATTTACTCTATAGATATAATTAAGTTTGATATTTTCAAATTTCGATGGTTAAAAGCTTCAACAAAATTTGTAATGATGAATATTATGATTGTAATACTTGTGAAGATAAAAGGCAATAATGGAAAACGAGACTGCTATACAAGAATCTTATGACACGTGAAACCCAAAGAAAAATGTTAAAATTTAATAAATATCCTCAAATTATTGTTGTATAAAACATGTTATCATCCTTTGAGACTCGGTCACAAATCTTATCGAAATAACCAAAACCTACATTCTGATACACCGATATTAACTCCTCTGAATATGTACATTTTCAGAACAAAAATTAAAACTGAAATTTTTTCTTTAATCAGAGTTTATGCTAATTTTGAACATTCAAAAGAAGATGGTGAAATCCAAACTAACTTGAACTCATTCATCACAGTACCAAACAAAGTAACAAATAGAACAGCATGTAATCTATCATCATCTAAAGCAGAAGCATTAAGAAACAAAGTATAAAAGTTTCACTTTGTTTCATATTTTTTTACTTTCTTCTCCCACACTATTCATTTCTCTCTCTTTCTTCTTTGTGTTTGTGGATCATCAATCTTCCTGCCTGCTAAAGCAACAGTTTTTGATATATTTGTATTTGTTATCTTTCAAAACAATCCATGGCCCCACACTACTCACTCTCTCTCATATGCCTCTCTAACTAAGTGCCCGTGCTTCAAAATGGTCACCAAAAACCAGAACCGGCCTCCATTATGACTCACATCCACACCTCCACCTCCTTCAAAGGTGCCCTTTTGTTTCTTCCCATTTCTATATTCGTGTTTTCAATCTCTACCTCAGTTTAAATCATGGGTTGTTCTTGTTCTTCAATTTCACTGCCTCACAATGCTTAAAAATATTGTCTTTTTTCATGCTGAGGTTTCAGAACTTTGAGGGTGATGTGCTCCTTCTGGACAACATAGAGCAAAGAGTTGGAGCTGAGAAAATGGTGGGCACTCCTATTAATGGAAGAACAAGGCAAGCTTTCACAGTTGTCAATGGCGGTGGCCACGATCTTGGCCCCAGTAGTGCTCCTCCAAGCAATGCTGGATCGGATTATGGAGCCATAGAGTTCACAAGAGAGGACGTGGAAGCATTGCTAAATGAGAGAGCCAAGAGAAAAGACAGATTTAATTATAAGGTCAATTGAAGTTTGGAATTTTAATTTTCGAGTGTATTGCTTGTTCTGATATTTGGATTTGAAATCAAATTGTGAAGGGTAGATGGCATTAAGTGTTGTTTGATTTACTTGGTACAAAGTGTTACATGAGTTATTCCTTGATTACTCATATCTTAATTTCAAATTTTTATAATTTTAGGAAAGATGTGAAAATATGGTGGATTATATAAAACGGCTTAAGGTTTGCATCAGATGGTTCCAAGACCTTGAGATGTACTACTCGCTAGAGCAGGAAAAGTTAAAGAATTCACTGGAATTGACCCAGCAAAAATGCACAGAAATTGGTAAGACTAGTTTTCAATTTTCTCCCCGTTCAATTATGAAACACCCTTGTTGATTTTCACTGATAGAATGCTTTGAATCATAGAGTTGCTGCTTAAAATCAAGGAAGAAGAATTAAATTCAATTATTACGGAAATGAGAAGGAATTGCACTTCTTTGCAAGAAAAACTGATAAAGGAAGAAACAGAAAAGACGGTAAGAAAGATCTTTTGGTCAATTGGATTTTAAAACTTGAAAACAAACATAGTGAAAGGAAATGTTTAGCATAAACTCTAAACTTTTTATTATCTTTGTGAATGCAAGGCTGCAGTGGAATCTCTTACTAAAGAGAGAGAGGCTAGGCTTGACATTGAGAGGTCACATAGTACTCTGTCAGAGGACCTTGGAAGAGCCCAACGAGAAATCCAAAGTGCAAATCAGAAGGTAAAGGAACACTACAATTCCAATGCTATGAGTTTCTTCGATTCTTTATATTTCTCCTCAATTTCTTCAACCGTTGTGTGAATGATGCGGATAAATAAATGTCCACCTTTGAATTTCTGCAGATAGCATCACTAAATGAAATGTATAAGCGGTTACAGGATTACATAACAAGCTTACAACAGTACAATGGAAAACTTCATTCTGAGCTTTCATCAGTTGAAGATGAACTTAAACGCGTAGAGAAAGAGAAGGCTAATGTAGTGGAGAACATCACCATGTTAAGGGGTCAACTTACTGTTTCAGTTGTGAGTTTTATTTCACAGGAAACTGTTTCAATTAAGAATTCATGTAAACTATATATATATATATATATATATATATATATATATATATATATATGTATGTGTGTATGTATGTATGTGTGTATATATAACTTTCTATATCTGTATACACATAAAAGGTTTTGCGATGAGCACTAAAAGGTGGTAGTTGTAAATTTTTGCAGATATGAATAGGTGATTGGGGAGAATATTATGATTTATTCGTGTTTTAGTGTCAATGGGGGATGATTAGATGAATGCTTGTAGACTATATTCAATAATATATTGTACATTTGAAAATTCTTCTATAGGTTTTTTGAATGACTTAAAGAACTGAAAGTGCCAATATCCTTCCAAGTTCAGTTCATTGCAGAGCTTTAAGAGTTGATGCAATATTTATATATATATATATATATATATATATATATATATATATTAATTTTAGGAATTGAATTTATCATAACTATCTTTCACTAAATTTAGGATAAGCATAGTTATTAAACTTAGATTTTCTGTCTTTTTGGTTCTATCTGTGTTTCTTACTTGTCATGCCACTGGTATATTACCCAGTTTTCTTGGTTCTTTGATTAGTCTTCTCAAGAAGAGGCCATAAAACAGAAGGATGTCTTGGCTACCGAAGTTTCGTCTCTTAGAGGAGAGTTGCAGCAAGTAAGAGATGAGAGAGATAGGCAATTATCTCAAGTACAAACTCTAAGTTCTGAATTAGAGAAAATTAAAGAATCTACTAAACAGTCTTCCACTGAAGTGGACAGCTTGACATTAAAAGCGAATGACCTGGAGGTTGGTGTGTGTGCACCATTTATTTATTAAATAGAAAGTCATTTTGTTATTGCTGGGTCATGAGAAGATGATTTTCCTGCCCAGGTAAAATGTTCTTTGAAAGATAATCAGATAAAGGCACTGGAAGAGCAGCTAGCAACTGCAGAGAAGAAACTGGAGGTAATCAAGACATTTTTTTAAAAGGTGTATACTATTTGGTGTAAAGCCATTTGATATATTGTTAGATAAAGACCAGTATCATTCATGAATTTTACATAATAGTTTAAGCTTTCAGGAGAGTTGGTCCTTGATATGGCATTTGAACCTTTATGGTGAAGTCCTGCAAGTTTGATCATTGGTGCCCCTATATTCTTATAATAAAACAAATATTTGTCCTTAAGTCCGTTACGTAGCATCGCCAAGATCAATAATCACATATGAGGTATTGATCGCTTAAGAGTTCAGAAATCTGTAACGATTTTATCTTTAAAAAACATATTAAAATATTGAAGAAAGAAGTTGTATTTAAATTACTTTTAATCATGACTCCTAAACAATATGGAACTATTGAATTTACCGGAACAATATTAATTTTAATGTAAGGGAGAATGACTTTATGCATTGCCCTTGTTTAAGATCTAGTGATCACGGATGAAGAACTTGTTAGATATGAAACTATCCATAAACCACTTGCTAACAACTTAAGCGTGAGAGAGTAAGTCCTTGACATATGCGTTATGGTATGTATCTAGCTCTAATTTATTATTTTTGTTTCTTGTTAGGTGTCTGATATATCTGCATTCGAGACAAGGACAGAGTTTGAAGGACAACAGAAGTTTGTAAATGATTTACAAAGACGGTTGGCGGATGCAGAATATAAACTTATAGAAGGGGAGAGGCTTCGGAAAAAATTGCATAATACCATTTTGGTAATTGACTGAATCAAAATATTTGTTGGTAATATTAAAAAAGCCAACACCTTAATAATCTCCATTTTAACAGGAGTTAAAAGGTAACATTCGTGTATTCTGTCGAGTGAGGCCTTTATTACCTGATGAAAGTTGTAGCACAGAAGGCAAGATTTTCAGTTATCCAACATCAATGGAAACTTCTGGACGAGCCATTGACCTGGCCCAAAATGGTATATATCTGTTGTGATGTATTTGAAACTACTTTTATTTCTTGGTTGAAATAGATTATGTTGCCAAAATGTCAACTCATGTTGCCCCTTGTTTTGTTCTTAGGCCAAAAGCATGCTTTTACATTTGATAAAGTTTTTACACCAGAGGCATCACAAGAAGAAGTTTTTGTAGAAATTTCACAGCTTGTACAAAGTGCTCTCGATGGTTATAAGGTAGCTTTAAAGTTATTACATAGTTTACTAGTCAAGTTTGGAAGAACATAATTCTAAAAGCCTTTATTTTCATACTCACTCTTATTTTGCCTTGTGATTCTATGGTTCTGACTGCACTGTAAGACACATGTCATCTGTTAGATTTGGTGTTGGATGTTGCTTTTCTTGAATACTTGTTTGTAAACCAATATATGCATACTTTTTCTACATGCATGTATAGCAATATGATGATATTTTTTCCATTTCAGGTTTGCATATTTGCCTATGGTCAGACAGGTTCAGGGAAAACCTATACAATGATGGGAAGGCCTGGACATCCTGAGGAAAAGGGCTTGATACCTCGTTCATTAGAACAAATATTTCAAACAAAGCAGTCTCAACAACCTCAAGGCTGGAAATATGAAATGCAGGTAAGGTAGAATATTTGTCTTTCTTAATTTCACACATCACTGCAATTAGTATAAATTTTAAACAAGTTGTTGAAGTAAAGATCACAAGGTGTTCCTTGCAAAATTTGCAGGTGTCAATGTTGGAAATATACAATGAAACGATTCGAGATCTGATATCTACAACAACTCGTGTGGAAAATGGTACTCCTGGAAAACAATATACAATCAAACATGATGCAAATGGAAATACACAAGTTTCTGACCTTACGGTAGTGGATGTTCAAAGTGCTAAAGAGGTTGCATTTCTTTTAAATCAAGCAGCAAATAGCAGGTAACCAATTTACTGAGTTTGAAATTTCCATTTTTCCATTTCATGACTAAAATCGTAGTCCTACACTTGTTGATGTATTAAGAAAATATCACTATATAGCTTTGAATAGGATTAAGAAAATGAGCGGTTGGTTTGGTGCAACATAATTTGACATAATTTCAATGCAACAAAATGTTGATTTAGTTTTTCTTAGTAGTCAGAAAACAACACTTACCTTTCTTATGTCCCAACTTAACTGTATTTGTTTTTCCTTTTTCTGGTTATATCCTTTTAGATCTGTAGGAAAAACCCAGATGAATGAACAATCATCAAGAAGTCATTTTGTATTCACTCTTCGAATATACGGTGTAAATGAGGTATATATATATATATATATATATATATTTCTCTTATGGAAACCATGTTTTATATATGTCAACCATTGATAGGCACACTTACTTGCATCACCATGCAACCTGTTTTGTGTTTCTTCCAGAGCACTGACCAACAAGTACAAGGTGTTCTGAATCTCATTGATCTTGCTGGTAGCGAGCGTCTTTCAAAGAGTGGATCAACTGGGGACAGGTTGAAAGAAACTCAGGTATGTAACACCATGTTGCTTTTCACTTTTTCATGTACTTATTTGATTTCAAATGGTTTAAACTCTTTGATTTGTGATCAGGCAATCAACAAAAG